GCCTTTGACCCACAAAATAACAGTAGAGACCTGTGTCCCCAACTATTTTTGGATGGTAAACATTTGTATCAGGTCAACAAAACATGGGCATAGTAACAATATTTTTATACTACGTTTATCCATTTTAAATACACTAACCTCACTCCTTTGTAACAACTAAGGCAAAAATGTCATTAATTCAGAAAATATTTTCAGGATCCCACCTTGATATTTCAGGACCCCACTTTGTGTCCCGACCCCAACTTTGGGAAACACTGCTCTAGAGTATTGGCCTTGGGGGCGGGGTTTATGAAAACAGAATGATCAACAGCAGCAGCTTTGTTTTAAATACAATTTACAGAACATGAAAAAGCCTGAAATTTGCATTAATTAAATCTTATATAGTGAATCTCATAACCAAAGATACTTTTAAGATATCTTGAACTGGAGTCTCCATACAACATGATGATAAATCTAATGTTATTTATACAAGTCAGAATATAATTAGAGATATCTTAAATAGGTATTTTGAATTGTCAAAATATATTAAGATATGATGTCTATTTATTTGTTTCTTTCTTTCATTCATAAAAACAAAACCATCTATGCACAGCATTAAAACCCCCCAAAGTAAATCATACCTTGAAGTAAAAGGGTGCAGAGTGAAGTAAAAAAAAACTTTTTATCATATTTGCCCCTTATTTTCAAAAATCAACTTCAACAAACAAACAATCTCAAGCTGGAAAGTTCTCCAAATTAAGAAAAGTAAATAAAACAAAATAATAAAAGAAAACATTTTATTTTATCCTAAATAACTAATATGTCTAATTTAGTCATAAAACAATTTCAGATAACTAGAGTGTAAGTGTGGTGAAGCCAAATAAATGATAGATCGGCATGCCATACAATGAGCTTCTGACCCGCTGCTGTTGCTGCGTTCTCATCTTCATCATCATCTTCATCAGAGCAGAAGCTGACATTAGCAAGATGGATTTATGACTGAACGAACGTCCACATATTTTTTTTATCTCTGTGGGTAACAATACATAAAAAAACATTTTTCCCTCCTAAAACACGAGTGTGAAAAAAGCTACGTTTGTTAAACCTGCTCCCTGCGCAACGTGCAGCAGGAAGGAGGGAGGAACTTATGATCCTGCGACACGACGGCAAGATGCAACTTTTCTACAGCGGGAGGGAGGGGGACATTTTGACGATTTATTCTCTCTTTACGTGTTTTAAAACGCCATATTTCTTCATTTATTTTCAGATGATTTTGAATAAATGACCCTATAAAACAATAAAAGAAATTATTTACCTGCCCGGTCGGGCAAGCATTAGGACACACCCACCTGCCCGACAATGGGTTTTACCTGCCCCGGGCAGTCGGGCAGTAGGATTTGTCCAACCCTGGGTCGTATTATACGAGATCGTATTATACATGAATAAATACGGTACATGCTCTATATGTAAATAATCACATATCAACAAACATGACATCAGCTGCTCTGTTGATGGTAAAATGCTCAACAACCTCATCATTAGCATTTAGACAGTCATGTTTATGACAGAATTAGATATAAGGTCAGATTGTGGTGGAATATGAGGGAAGTAAATGAGCAAATGAATTATTTGAAAGTACAGTGTCAGCGCTAGTACTGGGTGGTATGACCAAATTTATAACAATATTTTTAACAATTACAACGATATGACAGTTCTTTTTTCTTTTCATACTTACCTGTGTGGATTAACCATAATTAACCATATTTTCTACTGATTCTGAAGTAAAGTAACAACACTGTCTTGTCCACACAAATATTATTACAGGCTTTTTAGAAGTGATGCAGTTTTCAGGACAGTGTCACTAATGACTCACCTCCCCTCTGTGCTTTTTGACCAAATTATTTGCAACTTAGCATCATATCCAGCATTTTGACCACAGCTCTGAAACCTTCTTTTTCCCCAACACACATTTTTTAGAGACCATTGTATTACAATGAACACGGACAAAAAGTATGAACAGTGAAAGCCACATGAGGAAAATTAAACAGAATACAATATATTAAAAACATAAATAGCAACTACAACCATATTAACTGAATGCTTCAAAATACAGTTATAAGGCATAGTACTGATATTAGAGCTAAACCCAAATAATTAATGTGTTTATGTATTTATGTGGAGCGTTTTTAAGAATACATTAAATTTGGGGAAGTTATACCTCCCATGAAAAAAGATGTGTCAATGCATGTTCCTGCGCATTTTAAGTTTTAGGTATTTATACATGATGTGATGTAAAATGTAGCACCATGCTAACGGGGTAGTGCGTTTGTATGCAAACATAAGTCATCCAAAGGCTGGACCGTCTCATTTAACAGCCGTTTTTTTCAGGCCAGCTGGACTGCGAAGGATGTAGTTTATTGACGGCTGCAACTTTCTGATTGTTGCTCAGGCCGTTTAAACCGGTCTGCCAAAAATTCATACCAAGACTAAAAGATAAAAAATAAAAATAAAAAAATAAAAAAGTCAGTATGAACCCGCATTCCATGTTGTAATCAGCACAACTTTTTTGATAAAGGTACATGGTAAAGTGCTTAACTGCTTTTATACTGACTGTTCTTTGTGTTTTATTGTATTTTTAATAAAATGAGTAGAATTTTTTAAACTGAACTGAATTGAAATCTTAAGCCATCCCAGTGATTATATGTGCTTATTATAATAAGTAGTGTATTTCATTTTATTCTAGTTTTATATTTATAAGTCTTTAAACTGTTTTTATTTTGAACACATGTTCAGAGCTGGAATCTACTGGGATAGACTATAAAAATGCCATTAATTAGAAAAAAAATTAGTGTTTTCCAGTTGGGAGATTGATTAGGGCTGCACAATATATCATACATTTGTCATCATTGCGATAACAGTCAGTGCAATATGCATATAGCAAAAAATACAAACTGCAATAAATGGTTGACTCTAATGTTTGCATTTGTGTTTTGTCAGCATCAGTCTGATAAATAAAATAGACCAGAGATATGATATCAAATCACAATAATTTCATCATGTTTTAATGGAAATGATGTATTTGGTGTTTTTTTTGCTCTGAATCCAGAACAAAAAGACATCAACACTGCATATTTATTTTTTCATTTATCGCAAGTCATCACAATATTAAGCGCTGTTATCGCGCGTCACAGGTTTTCCTGATATCGTGCAGCCCTAAGGTTGATAGTTAGACACGAAAAAAAGTGTCCAACGTATGACTTAAGTGTGAAAAACAACACAACATCAGCTTGGAGCTCACAATTTCACTTCTACATTTGAGGAGCGGAACTTTCTCGTTCACACACCCACACACCTGCTGCCACTGTTCATTACACATATTCATGTCTGGAGGCAATCAGCACCTGCCACGACATTACAGAAAAAATGTTCAGAACTGAGTGTGTTTGTGCACATACACTGAAGTCATGAAGAACTCATAACTTTGGTTTATAAGATATGTATGGTATGTTAAACATGTTTTTAATGGCTGTGAGTGCATTGTTTTACAGTATGTTTCCACTAAAACTCTTTACTGGGTTTTTCCATCTTCAGTAATTAAGTATTTAGTAAAACACTTGGTTTGAGTTTAGAGTGAGGTGATGTTTAGGTAAGTTCAGCTTCAAGTAACTATTATAAATACATTATTATTATTATTATTATTATTATTATACGTAAGTCTTTGGGGAATGTTTATTTTTAAGAAGTAAGTGGAGACACGTGTTTTAGTGTAAGAACACTTCCTGTTTTATAGGTAAATCTTCCTCTTTATATTTCATGTTTCTTTCCTTTGACTTCTATCCATCTCCCCACTGTAGGCAGTTTGTTGGAGACTCCGTATCCTTTCAGCCCCGGGACCAGTCCAGAGCCCACTTCTCCTATCGTTCCAGTCGTGGGTTCGGACACTTCACAACTCACCAGTTTGTTGGAACGAAACCAGAGTGATGCTGGATTAACTGGGTCGATGATCTGCACACACGGGGCTACTTTTAGCTCAGGGACAGCAGATTTTCCTCCACAGACGATGACCCCTGATGGACCTGATGGAGAAGCTTCTGACAGGACGATTGAAGTCTTCTCTGCAGAACAAGTTACCTCATCCACAGAGCCTGTTAGTCCTTGTGGGTCTGCCAGCTCAGATACAGGACCAATCAGCTCAGTGACATTTGTGTTAAATGAACTGACACGAACTGATGCTTCCACCCCTGCCAGTGCAACAACAAAAAACCCCTTCACCTTCACCACAGGGCCTCAAACAACGGATCCAGAATCCACTTCCATCGCATCACATTTGTCCTCAAATCAAGAACAAAATACCTCCGCTCCAGTGACCACTTCTTCTTCGTTCTCCACTTGCTCAAGAGGTTCTGTTTTAAGTCCCGCTCTGCTGAAGTCTCTGGAACAGCTGGCACAGAGCGACGACGATACCCACCTTCCACAGTACTTTCATCAGGTAAGCTGTCCGCACTCGCTACCATTTCTATCAGCTGCTCATTTCTTCAGGCAGTTCTTACCTTTTATTGACATCATGTCAGTTTGCTTGCTGCCTCTCTGTCACATCTGTCTCTTTAAATCTTTTATTATTATTTTTTCAAGCGCAGCTACTCATGCACTCGACCTGAAATGGAGAATGGCACTTTGTACCCTCAGGCAGAGGTGTTTTTCTGCCTTTAGCTGCAAACAGAAACACAGGCACGCACAGAAGCCGCAGACACTCTGGATCAAATAAAGACTCTCTGTCCTTCTGTACGCTTTCACTTTCACACACATCTGCATGACTGAACTCGTACGTTTTCAGGTGATTAATGTCAGTTTGAGTTGTGTTATCAATCAGCCCATCAGGCACACCTGACCTTTTTGATTCTGCAGGTGATGGGTTCACAGATGAGGTGTTGTGGGGTCATTGCACAAGTCAAAGAGAAAATGTTTTTTTACAATTCGATGCATAAAAGAAAAATGTTTGTTGCTTTATATTTTTACACTTTAACATTTATCTGATCATTAAATGAGACAAAGTGGAAAGTAGAGGATATTTTGCTGTCTCCAAAGATAATTTGGGACAAAATGTTTACTTATTTTAACTTTTTTTTGTTTTAATCAAACACAAATAAATGTGTGATGGACTTGCGACCTGTCCAGGGTGTACCCTGCCCCTCGCACTGTGACTGCTGGATATGGGCACCAGTGACCCACGAAACCCTGAAAAGGAAGAAGCGTGTACAGAAAATGGATGGATGGATGGATGGACAAATAAATGTTCTGTTGTAAATTGTAAATCCTCACCGATAGTAGATGTTACTAAAAGCAGGATTAAATATTAAAATAAACAAAAAGTTATTGTCATAAATGTGATTGTACCATACAAAAAATGCTTTTCAAACCAGTACAAATAAAAAAATAGTGTAGTGTATTAACAAAGTGATCTTTAAAGTGCATGTGACGTGCCTGTCCTTCAAATACAAAAAGTCAAAGAAAACGCTTTATTCTTAAGAAAATTGGCATAAAACACATGATTTTACAGATTTTGTCTCATAACTGGCCTATTTTCTTTTGGATTTGGCTCAGCTAAAACAAAACAGGAAGTGACATCAAAGGGGAATGCTTTGAGAAATAAAACTCCCTGGTTTTGGTTTATTTAAACAACATTATTTGAACTGTGACTCTTTCTTATCCCTCTATGATAGTGATTAAAATAATCTAAAGAAACATCAGATTCTTCTCCTCTGTCTGTTTTATTAGCCATTTTAGCAACGCTCTGTTCACATTCAGACTTTCCCCTTTGACATCACTTCCTGTTACTTCACAGGCAAATATCTCAACATCTGCTCATCTCATGAAATCTTTTTCTTTCCAAAAATACATTCATATTTATTACAATAATTTGATGTCACAGGCACTTTAATTTAACCATAACCATAACCGAAGTTATAAAATAAATCTTAACTAATAAAAAAATCACCTTCTACCCATGGAGAACCCCCTGTTTGTTCTGAAAGTGCATAATGAAGTAAACAGGACCAGCGCATTCCTGTTCTGTCATTTTTTTGATCCCAAATAAAACATCCAAACTCGACTGCAGTGTGTCTCACAGGCAAGAGACTTTACTCTAAACCAGTGGTTCCCAAACTTTTTATCTTGTGACTCACAAAATATTCATGGCAAAAACTTGTGACCCCAAATATTACTGGTCTGAGTACACAAACTTTGTTAATA